CCTTGATTATTAAAGCCATTGTTTTAGGGACTATTCCACAATATTATTTTTAATGATGTGGCAGTTGTTTTTGTTTTCAAAAAATAAAATCAATCATGTTGTCAAACACCCCCTTATTTGGAATAATGCAATGCAATTAATGGAGGCCTCAGTCTTGATTCTTGATACAATATGTAGAGGTGGCAAGTTATGAGGGCTCTACATCTTTAATGGGGTCATGTGTCCCCAGATTCGAGATGCTGCCATATGAAAATACAAATACTTTTGAATTTAACATTTATTTTATTAGTTTATTATATATTACATTTCTTGCTAAAAGAATGTATAACACATGGAATTTAATTTGAGTATTGATGGATGAAATACATTTGATCGACCTGGCTTTTATCTGATCAAAATGCATATCTATCTATATTTGATCGATCCAATTATAATCATTTGGCAAAACTAATCTGATCAATATTTGAAATTTATATGTTTGACTGAAACCAATCCATTGACAACCCTATCAGTGATGAACGGATAAGAAGCTTTTCCCCATGACAGAGCCCAAGGGCCTATCACAAAAATTCAAAATTTTCAGTGGAAAAGAAAAAAAGTATAAACCTTATGAACCCATGAGTGGTAAACATGAGAGGGGCTCTCATTCTGACAACATCTCCATGAATCTTCACTCAATTTATAGTCACCATGTCGATGAGGCACCATTAGACATTAGACCTATTCATGTGTCGGGTCGGGTTTAAGTTTGTATATGTATCAATAAAATACATTCAGGTCTGAGTTCGAACCCGAGCTTGAGCCCGACCCTCGTATAAAACCCAAAGACTGGGCCTGAGCCCAACCAAAAATTTGAAAATAGATTTTTTTTATTCAATAAAAAAATGTTTTATTTATATTAAAAATCTCTAAAACTCAAAAATAATAAACATCTTACTATTACTTGGAAAGAAAAGAGAAGAAGAATAAAGAAAATATTGTATATATATTTTTTATTAAATAAAATATATTATTATTATTTAATATATAGTATCAAGTTGGGCTAGGGCTTAGACCGGGCTGTTTTATAAGGCCCAAGCCCGGCCCAAAAAATTGTTGAGCCCGGTGCTTTAAGCCTGAGCCCGATCCCATGGACCTAAAATTATGACCAAGCCCGATTTAATAATGGGCCAGTCCATCGGGCTACCCGGACCATGATCAGGTCTAAGCACCATAACTTGTCTTATATCTAGCTTGAATACAAACCATTAATTAACATTTGATACAAGCCATCAATTCCGAGTCCAGATTTACTCCTCACGTCATGTATCAGTTGCACATCAAGAACATTTCCTGCACTTTTATATTTTTATTTATGAAAGATGTTCCCAATACACAATAGGACGTGCCTATAAAATCGTTGTGAGGAACACGAATAGATCCCAATTCATCAATTCCTTACTAAAAACATCCTCTACCAAACAATATCATTTGATTGTTTAATTTCTAATTATTGATTTTTAGAAGGTTTTTGTAGTTATAACAGGTTTTGGGTTAGGGGCGAGGTGGGCTACATCTTTCTTTTGATACTGGTTAATAGAATTTCAAATTGTCTATCCTTACACCTACACTTGGAGTAAAGTTTAATTGGGTTAAAAATAAAATAAATTCTATCTATTTTGAAGGATCGGTCTTGATCCTCTATTGAATTTATTAATATTTTTTTTGATAATCAAATTTATTACTTTTTTAACTCGATCATTGCCTCATTCCATTCAATGAATGATGCAAGCTTCCTGCTGAGCACTTACGAACACATAATCAAAGTTGTACGTTAGCCCAAAAAATCCCAACTTTAGTACAACGTTCGGTACGTGTCGTCCATCAATAGATCAGTGCTAAGAGGGATGCAAGTTTCCTTCATTGAAAGAGTGAAAGTTTTTTCTACGGTACTCATTTTACCTTGAATTTCTTTTTGCAATATTACTAAAAAAGTAGCATTCATTACCTGATACACCTAAAAAATGTAAAAACAAGGAAAACTTGCCACATGGCTATATTTAGCGAATCTAGTCCCACTTTTAGTAGGTCTCAAATTCTGATCAGGTAATTAATTGAGTGGAAAGTCGGCTTTAATCAAGTGGAGCTTTTTCCTATTAATTAATTTCGAGCAAAGATAGAAAAACTCTATTAGAACCAAAACTAATAAAATAAGATTTAATTTGGGAAGAATACAAGCAAATACAAGGTTTAAAAATACTTGTACAAATATGTATATTGCGAATGGGGATGGTTAACAGCAATGAAAAGTTTGATCGTAAAGTAGGCCACAAGTGTTGGTTAGGAGTGGATTCGAGTAAAGTCGAGTTGAATAGTACGAGGTTCGAGAGCTCAGTTCACCAATGTATTATAAGGCTTGAGTTTGAGTTCAAACTCGATTTGAAAAAAAAAATTATAAAAATAAAAAATATATATATATATAAATATTTTTATTTAATACTTTAAAAAATAAGAATTATAAAAATTAAAATTATAATATTTTTATTATATATTTTATTTTCTATATTTATATATATATTGAAAATATATAAAAAATAAATTGAATGAACTAAAATTAAGCAGCTCGAAACTCAGTTAAAACCAAACCAAGCCGAACTTTTCACGAGATGAACTCAAATAAATTGTGAAAGACTCGACTTGTGGCCACCCCTAGTGTTAGTCCTGGACTCCTGATTTTCTAAAGGGTTGCTGTGGTGTTATTTGCATTGCATGAACTATAATTAAGCTCTGTCATGCAAAATAATAAAAAAAAAAGGTTTCCTGAAAATTGCTGTCATATGTAAATGGTCACAGGAAACATATGTTTCAAGAAGGTGAGTGGAGATATAAAAGATGCCATGGATAAGTATAATGAATGTGGGGTATAATAAATAGATTCCAATTTGATGTCAGAAACATACCACTTTCAATGGAGTAGCTAAGGCTAAATTTCTTAAGGGGTTGATGGTTAAGAAATTTTACAATTATGGGAGGGTTATGATCCAATGATACGGTGGATCAGCGTCTTCAGTACACAACCTTCTTATCTATTTGGTGAGATTCTGGATTGAACCCTTTTATGTTGGGGTTTCATGTGTCACCCGCACAAAAATATTTATTTGTAAATATTCCCTTGCTTTCAACGCAACATTTCCACGTTTATACCACAGGAATTGAAAAAAAAAAATCATTAATTTGCAATAAGAAATTGTGACATTGGTAGACCCCAAGGATGGTGTACCAAATTATGTATCAGAGTGAGCGCACGCAGGTCTGAAGTACGGGTGCAAATCGGGTTGAGCCCATTTAACATATTTAACACTGTTAAATTTTTGATGGTAAGTACAACTTGTGAATATGAATGAATGAAAAATAAGTAGACCATATGATATCTTTAATATGATTAATTGAAATATTGATTTACCTAGCAACAAAAAATCATAAATACATTGTAGTTGGACTCCTCAATAACCATTTTAAGGCGCATAAATCATTCTCAAAGCGCTGATGAACTAATTCTTAAAGTGTTCTCAAGATAAATTTTGTTTAAAGAAAAGGGAGAGAAACATGTGAGAATATGAGGCCATTTGATAACAACACAAATAGTTAAAATGAAAAGCTCATTTCTTTCTCTTTTAGTGAATAAGATTTTAAGGAGATTGTTGGATCCTTAATGACTGAGGCTAGGGGTGGATACAAACTGAGATGAGCTGAATATTAGACTATTCAAAGCTTGGCTCGACAAAAAAGCGCAAGGCTTAAACTCGATTCGAACTAGAAATATTACCTCGAATTCGACTCTATTGAAAAGCTCATATGTTCAACTTGGGCGTAGCTTGAGTTCAATAGTGAGTGAAGCCTAGTTGTGCTCGAATTTAGTATTTGTCTTGCTTGTTTAGCATTTAAATACTACTAGAAAAAACACATCAAAATTGCCTACTCTCATCAAGTTAGATCTTAAATTTTTAGCCAATAAGAGAAATTAAACCTTAAATTTTTATTGTTTTATTTTTTTTCTTATATATACATATAAACGAATAAATAATATACAAACTTGATTAGACTTACAAGCTATATGAACAAAACTTCATACTATATATTTGAGCTTGGATCGATTAAAGAGCCTATATATTGGATTTGAGCTCAACTAAAAGTTCAATTTAGACTGAATTGAATTGAGTTTTCGTAAGCCGAACCCAAATGACTTTCAAATAAGATGTTTTTGACCCACACATTGTTAAGTCTAAAGTTGGATAGAATACTATACTCCTGAATATTTTATTATTGAATTATTTTATCCACTAAAATACAAAACAGCAAATCATTTCCATTTAACAATCTCAGCTTTTATGAAACAACCCCTAAGAATTTTAGAAGAATTAACCAAACAAGGACAGAATGGTCTCATACATAGAATAACGTAAGAATGATTTGGAGTTTTAGAAATGTTTAGGGGAATATTCCATGAAATCACCTGAAAAAAAAAAAAAAAAAATCTCGGGGGCAAATCGTTGGAATCCAAAAAGTCAGGGGGCTAAATGTCACTACCCCTGAGGTGAAAATGATTTACCTTTCTTTTTTAATATGAAAATGAAGGATCAAACGGTTAGGATCATCCATGTATGATGACGACTCACGAGTGGGACCAAATCCCAACCAACTGATACAGGCAGGGTATATAGGAGTTGGTGGTTAGTCATTTAATTGGGTTATTATAGCAGCGAGCGCCAGCTATTCAGCCAAGGAGAGGTTGCAGCTCACTTCAGCCGACTCTCATTCTCACAGTTAATAGGGAAAAAATCAACCAAAGGCAGAGAGAGAGAGGAAACCCACCTCCTGGATAGACTTACGAAGCCTAATCGAATGCGCATATATAGAGCTTAGGTGGGGTTATGGTTAAAGAAAGGCAGCAACAGATCAGATCCTCCTAAAAAAAGAAAAACTGAAAAAGAAAGAAAGAGAAATAGGAAAAGCAATGGAAATGTCAGGGCTGGGCACTGGGGACAGCCTTGTCTGCTATTTCTTCGCTTGACTTATCTTCTCTCTTCCTTCCCAGTAATAATGATGATTCAACTTTGATTAGTTTTTCTCTGTACATCTCTCTGGATTCTCTTCTCAATTCTCAGCATATATTGTCCTTCCTGAGCTGAGCTCCTCCTTTGATCCTGTCTCTCTCTCCTTGACCCTGTCAGTCAGGGGGGTTGATCATCTCTGTGCTTACAGTCAAAACAAAAACAATCAAAAGTTTTGAGAACCCATTAAAGCTCTCTCGCTCCACTGCGTATGTGCCCAGACTACAGAGGTTGTACAGAAAGTCTCGTGTCTCGGATCCCAATATACGGTCTCTGGTGAACGCCAATAACGAGAAAACTGCCTGCCTGCTTTTTCTCCACTCACGCTCAAGTATAAAGGGTTGTGGTCCTCCAAACCCCACCTTTCCTTTTAGCTTTCGCAATTCGCAATAATATTTTCTCGCTCTCTCTCTCTATTCCCCTTTTTCCTTCCTTCCTCTCTTTTTGTTTATTTTTTTTTTTCAGCTGTTGCATTCCCCGCCTCTTTACAGCTTCCATTCACCTTTCGTACAGAAGAGATTGCTTTGAGGCTTTGAGCTTGAGCTCCTGCTAATGCAAGAACCGGGTTTAGGAATGTTGGGTCATGGTATTGGCGGTGGAGGCATTGGTGGACTACACAACGACGTTTCCCTGTCGGTATCGGTAGCTGTTTCGGCCGAGCAACAACGGCAGCTCAAGGCCGAGATCGCTACTCATCCTCTCTATGAGCAGCTATTGACAGCTCATGTTGGGTGCCTCCGCGTTGCTACACCAATTGATCAGTTACCTCTCATCGACGCTCAGCTCGCGCAGTCTCACCATATCTTTCGATCCTATGCTTCCCTACATCAAAACCGACACCAAGTGCTCTCTCCCCATGAGAGACAGGACCTTGACAACTTCTTGGTACATATATTCTCGACGACCTTTTTTCCTTTTCTTCTCTCTTCATCTGTTATTTCTTTCTCCCCTTAATATGTTCTCGTGATCTGGTGTTATTTACAGGCTCAATATTTGTTAGTCTTGTGTTCCTTCAAAGAGCAGCTTCAAAACCATGTTCGGGTCCATGCCGTCGAGGCTGTTATGGCTTGCCGTGAAATTGAGCAGTCCTTCCAAGCTCTTACCGGTTTGCTCTCTCTCTCTCTCTCTCTCTCTCTCTCTCTGATATCACTATACGTTTGATTTTGGAGATGATAAAAGATGCGTGATGGGCTTTTGTTTTAGATGTTCATTTTTTTAATTAATCTGTTTGTTTTTATTGTTGGATGCATTTGGTGGGTGGAAAGCTATACGGGTTCCTTGTAAATCTGTGCTTTCCGTAAGAGAGGTGGGTGGAGCGGGACCACAAGGAAATAGTTTATAGTTAGCAAAGGTTCTGTTAGTTGGGTGATGGAGGGAACAAAGAACTATAAAGGGCTGATGTTTCATTCAGATGTTTAGCTTTACGGGGAGTACTTGTATTCTGATTGTTTTTCTTTCATAATCCATGAACCTTCTCCAATTCCTTACATTCTTCTTTGAACGTAACTCTGATGTGTTGGGATTGGTGTCTTTGGACCTGTACTAGAGTTTGAGGAGCAACCAAAGTTGGTGAATCAACACAAATTTGAAATATGATTTATTTAATTTAACTCCTTATATTATACTGTTAAAAAAGTATGAGATAGTCAGCTGCCCAAGCATGAAGATGAAGGTTCACATAGACAGAAATGAGTGTTCAAATATTCCATGACAATCTTGTACTATTGTTTCCTAATAACATGAATAAAGACTCTGCATTTTAGTACCCAACTGTCCATCATTTGGGATCTGGGTATGGGAAATGTGTTACGTGGAATGCAGGTCACCGCTTCTTAGACCGGTTGGTTTAAGTGTGTGACTGGACTTCAGTGCAATTCCTTCCAGTAGTCACATGCCAACACCCAAAAAAGTTCTGGGAATAAAATGTTGAAATGAGTATTTCAAACATAGCCTGAATCTGGATGGTGGCAGGTAAAACTTAAAAGGCTTTGAATTCTATAACCCAAATGCTAGGCCCTCTTAGCTTCCATGACAGTACTTGATTAAAATTAATTACTTACAGGTAAAGAAATTTCACATATAAACCTGAGAGCCTTTTATTTTTCCTTTTTAATTCTCTAGTATTTTGGTTTGAGGCGCATCTTCGTAGAGATAGAGATTCGAGTTGTCTGTCAGCGTAGCAATACTCGGCATCTCCTTTTTGACAGCATAATTTCAAGATAAGAAGATAGTAGATGATCTACTTGAATTGAAGATGGAATATAAAGTCGAAGTGCTGAAATTCTTGGTTCAACTTACTCATATATAATCGATGAGAGAGGTTCCTAGATCTTACTACTGGTGCACCTCAAGGAAATAGGTTCATGTATTACCCTTAGAAATCATACATGCATGCAAGCACTACTCATCAGATTCTTTGAATGTACAATCTCAAATTGAGACAAACCATTTCTTTGCACCAATTTCCATTTTTTGACATTTAATAGTTTCCTTACCAGATACATTCTACCATTAACAAACCGGGTTGGTTGCTTTAACAGTTTCCTTACACACCAGAAACTATTGCTCCCTTTAATCCTATGAAAAAAGCATGAAAGCTATATTCTAATACTATGGCAGAGAATTTTGATGGTTAAAATGCATCTGATTATACCATTTTTATATGGAATAGATTTGTATCCGTTAGATGGAAATAGGACATTTCGATAGCAACATATCATTACCTTCCGTAGGATTATAAAACAAAACCTTTGACTATTGTTTATCCAAGGGAAACTTCAGATTAAAATTCACTGTCGGTCCTTATGTATATACCTACCAAGTAAGTCCTTTTAGAAAACAAGCTACATGTTTCGTTTCAGAGTAGGGGATGAAAACAGGAAACCAAACTGTTGATAGAGAATTCATTTCTTATTGTCATTAGATACAGAAGGTGTTGTTACTAATACGCAGGTTGGTCTCTATCTTTATCAAATCACCAAACTGTGCTTAACTGAAGTCATAGCATGCTAACTTCTCCATTAATTCATGAATTTCTCCAAGCTTAAGTCCCATTTATATGTAGCTGAAATAGAAACTTACATTGTAATGTTGCTATTTAATAATAAAAACTAAAAATGCAGCTAACATTAAAAATCAAAGAATGAAGTAACTCCTTGATGTGAGGATAGCTTTTAGGAACAGGTCCCATTCAGGCAGCTAGAGGAAGTTGTCAACCCGGGCGTCCATTCCTAGTTAATCCAGTAAAGCCCTATATATGGAAACCTTTTAGATTTTCTTCCACACAAAACTAGTAGTTTTATGAATACTTTTCGTTCTCCTATAAATCTCTTTCTTGTTTTTTGTGGATGATAAAGGATTTAGAGTAGTTTATATATATTTTAAATTATAGCATAATAACGCTCTTAATTATAGTTGATATATTTTAAATTCTATGCATTGGAAAATGGTGATTTTTGTCCAATAAATTGTTCATGGTCACCAATTTACCATGTAGAGACATGTAAAAGGAAAAAAGACACTCTCCAAGTCATTTTCATCTCCTTCTTACTATTGGTGGTTCTCTTAGAATTACTGTTGAGTTCTGGTACTTGGCACAGACCCTCATTCGAGAAAGATAAACTCAACTAACTGAACTAAACCTCATCCCAACCATTTGGGTCAGCTAGGCTACAAGTATCCTGTTTTGCATACATGTATATATGTAAGTAAGTATGTATGTATGTATGTAAGCACAAATTTGTCTTAAGAATTTCTTTCTGATGCTGTATAACATACAGAAAATGTATGACGTTCTTCGAATGGAAAAAGTTAGTCTGATAATTGATGGTAAAATATTCCTATTGACATATGAGTTATAGATTATAAATAGGGCATTAGTGATGTTGCAAAAAGAAACAAAAAAGGCTCTGAAATGTGAATTAGCTGACCCAATTTAAACAATAACTTAAATCTAACATCGTTATAGGTTTTTAATTAAGAATCACAACAAGAGGAAGCACCACAATATTGTACTTTTGCGAGTTTGTCTAAAATGTTGGAAACAATAGATTATAAGCTACACAGGCAAGCTAATGATAAAAAATGGCTATATGAGGAAAGGCATGATAATTCCTACTATTTTCATAAAGGTTTTCAAAGTTAATAAGCATGACTAGAAATTGACATATATATACCCAAAATATTAAGAATTGCAGCCTTGCAGGTTAGAAGTAGGTGAAAGAGTTCATGTTTATTTTATCATCTTCTTCTCATGTAGCTTTTGATCCCATAGCCTCTTGATAAGTAATAAACACTCTTATCCTAAATTTTTCTATTCATAAAAGTCATAACTTCAAAATGGAGAGGACAATTATCAGGGAGACAATCAAAGGCCTATGGAAATCTTATGCAATCAATCAAGATCTATACAGAGACTGGACCTCTCATTCCATTAGTTCCAAGATCTATCAATTTTTTTATCCATTGATAGCTTGGTAACAGGAGTCTCATGGACTGGGTTTTATTGGCTAGTTCATTTTTGAGGTGAGGATTATTCTTGTTATGGATCATCCATGGGCCTTGAGTAGCTCTAAAATTGACCATTGTTTTGCCATGTCTTTTGGTTTTGCACTTACCCATTTAATTATTTTTAATTAAAAAAAGTTATAACTTCAATGACATGCATTACTGAAAGAGAAACCCAACCATTTGAACACTATTGAATTTCCCCAGTTGTATTACGTATCCAGATTATGCCGAGGGAACAATGCTCCATGGCACCTTACCCTCTTGTTTAGACCTTTTGACTTTCAGCCTGGAGAGTGGAGATATGAATATAAGACGAACTTTTTGTGAATACTTGATATTTTAGGGTGATATATAACTATTTTATTTTGGCATAAATATACTTTAACTTGAGTTCCAATTATCAAGACACTCCAATTTAACAATTTTTATATAGTAGTATCTCTTTCATTTCTTAATTACAAACCACATGTCTGTAAATAAAAGTTATTGAAAATAAGAGCTAACACAGTTTTTTTTTTTCAAAAATCTTTGTTCTTCTCCATAAAATTACACTTTTCGTAAAAATATATAACTTTTAAGAAATTGAACTATGACTTGTCTAGATATGTAAGCAAGAATATATTAGAGGAGAAATTGTGTAGTATGTAAACTGTAGATGGGAGAACGAAATGTATTCATATCTTTTATAGAAAAAAAATCCTAATGCAACCTATTTGATTAGTTGACTTAAGAAAGGTAGAAATGTAACTAAAACTGTGATGGACTATGTTGAAATTCTATAGAGAAAAATGTAATTTTGGGTTTACATTATGAGAGAATAGAAATTTCCCCTTTATTTTGCTATCTTTTTATTTATAATTTGCACAGATTTGTTGAAGCATCGGTAACTGTAGAACGATTCTAAGGCATTAAAACACCATATTTGATTCTTCTTTTTTTGTTTGAAAGAGATTATTAAAAGAAGAGATAAACAGCTTTCAAGTATAGTTGCAAAGATGGCAATTCAGTACTTTAGCCTCTATTTGTTATTTTGGTCAAGTTTGTCTGCAAATTTCATATGCACTGGTGTAAATGCATGGGAATGCAAAAAGACCGAGTGTATATTATGGTTTACTTCTGCTTAGGTGGAGGGTTATCTGTTTGGGAATGAGGTATAGTGCAAGATGCTGTTGTCCCCACTTTATATGAGAGAATAGAGGTAGGAGGAAGGTGGTGCAATTTTGCATTGGTTTTGGGGATACACAATACAAAATTTTGTATTAGGTAGGATTGCAAATCATAATTACAAGCAAACAGATGCAAAACTGAACTGGGCGAAAAATTTTTATCCATGTCAAATTTCCACTGCAAACAAATAGATTTGTGCTAATAATTAGCTATTTGCCAGTTTTGCTCTGTGACAACTAATGCATCATTAAGACTTTGTTTGTTTATGGTCCGAATTTCTTTTGCACTGGTGTAAATGTATGGAGGTCCAAATGGGTTGAGTGTAGGTTCTGGTTTACGTTTGCTTGATATTTGACTGTCTTATTTGTTTTGACAAGTAAAATGAAGCGGTCCCCATTTTACATGAAAAAGAATGGAGACAAGTGGAGGGCTATTTGTTTGGGAGTGTAATGGGAAGCAAGGTGATATAGTCTCCACTTTATATGAGAGAATTGAGGTAGGAGACACTGCCAATGAATGCAAATGAGTAAAAAATTACAAGTTTTGTATGAGGCAGGAGTGTCAATCATAGTTATAAACAGATGCAAAACTGAACTGGGAGCAAACTTTGTATCCCATTCAGATTTGTGCCATAAACTAAAGAACTTAAGGCTTTGTTTGGGAAGACTGCAAAGACAAATATGTTCAATTCTAATACAAAATATGCTGAACAAAAGTGTTGCATTTTTGTATTTGTAGCCCTCCCAAACTGAGTTTGGAAAGAGTACAAATACAAATATATAAAGAACAAAACCTTGTAGTTTGTATGTATTTGTACTGTACAAATTTGAATTTGTACTCTTCCCAAATTGAATATAAGGCTTAGTTTTGGAAGAGTACAAATACAAATATGTAGAGTGCAAAACCTTGTATTTTGTATGTATTTGCACTGTACATATTTGTAATTGTACTCTTTCCAAACTGATTCAAAATAAAATTCAAGGTTGAGCTTGGCCCTCTCCAAATTTTTATGCAACTATTTAGAACCTTCATTGGGCTCATTCAAGTAGAATGCAACTTGGGCAGTCTGGGCCGGATTTAAGGTCAACCCAGCCCAACTCTAGGTATTGTGCATAGGTCCAAAGGCCAGACTGAACCTGAGGTCAAGCTTGAACTGTCCAACCTAGGCCCAGCCCAAAGTGATATTTAACACACTTGGGTTGGGCTCAGTTTTAGGACGGGTTCAGGGTAATCAGTTTGGCTCAAACGGGCTTCTTAGGCCTAATGTATCTATCCTAAACCTATTTATCATCAAAAGTTTAGACCATTAAATAGGAATCTTTTATATTTTGTATATATGCTGTGTAATTGGGCTGGGCTTAGGCTGTCCAAGGGCAAGGCCCAGGTCCAGTCCAAAAAGTAGGCAAGCTGGGGTTTCGGGGCCTAGCCCAGCCCGAGGGCCAAAAATCCAAGCCCATACGGTGTAAAATTGTGGGCTGGTTGGTCTGGGCTCGGGCTGGGGCCACCCAACGCCAGATTGTTAGGAATCAGTTTACAGAACTATTTTCATGTTTATGTATCAAATATTAGAATCTATCCAAGTGGAGGGGTGATTGAAATGGTTGAGAATCATTTTACAGAACAATTTTCTTGTTTGTCACATAATTATTCCTTTGTAAGAAGGATGCGTGTATCCGATCCGATGCTGTAATTGGTTTTTATCAGAAAGGATATGCTTTTTCTTAATTTCTGAGTACAAAGAAACTGAGAATCAAGATCGTTTTATTTATTTATTTCGTCCAAGTTGGAAGTAAAATTGATGTGTAATCAAGTTTCTGATGCCTTTTCCTTGTGTAAAACGAATTTGATGAATTGGAGCACTTCAAATGATAGTTATGTTTCTGTTTATTGAATAGAGATGAGATGCATCTATGCTCAACCTAGTTGCAGCCCAGCAGATAATCACGCCTTCCTCAATCTCTGTCTTTGCGTTAACTTTTAGCCTAATCCAACTTTTGGCAGGTGGATAGAAACAATGTTTTCAAAACTGAACTGGACCGGACGGTCGGACAGGAAAAACCAGGAACCAGTCACCTGACCAGATCCGTTTCACTCCAGAACCATCTTTTGGCCAAAAACCAATGATTTGGTCAGCAAACCGCTGATCCAGGCGGTTGAACCGTTCGAACCATCGACCTGGGCAACTGTTTTGGTTGTTTTTTATTGTTAATTTGTTAATTTTTTTTATTTTTTGTCAGAACGGGCTGTCAGTTTGGTTCGAACGGTCAGACTGTTCAACCACCCCTGAACGGTTTGTTGTTGAGTTTGGTTTTAAAAACCTTGGATAGAAAAGATTTTTTGTTGTGTCTGTAAGCAAACAATTGAAATATCAAAGGGTATTATTTAAAGGAGAATGTGGAATATGGTATTTAAGAAGAAAGAAAGAAGAGAAAGAAAAACACAAGACATCTGGGGGATAGACTTCAATGAGTTGGTTTGAACATATTAGATGTAAAGGGTTGCGGACTTGGGTACCCGAGTGGAAGAACTTCTCAATCAAAAAAAAGAAAAAAAAAAAAGTGGAAGACTTTCAGTTTCAGCTTTTGGCTTTTGGGCCTAGTTCTCGGGCTGGGATACTAAACCCAGGTTACTATTTCTTTTTTCTCCCGGTAAGAAAACCCAGGCTAACGTAGGGGTAACCGAACTGTGGGCATAAATTTCAAACTAAACTGGTTTTTGACCAATTTGGTTCTTCATTTTTTCGATTTTTTATATTTATGATATATAATAGTTTGTACTATATATTCGGATAGGTTTGGTTTTTTTGGTTATTTTTGAGCACCCCTAACTCAAGGTTCATATCTAAAGACCAAAAATTCAGGTTTAAATAAACTCAGATCCAGACATGTAATTGGTTTTAACATCAAAGTGAAGATTAAATGTCCCATCCAACTCTTGTACTTGTGACCTTCAACTAAAATACCTTGGTTAAAAAAACAACTATTTGATTCTGTGCTTGCTTTTCTCCGGGCATTAAAAAAAAAGGTATTTGGCAAAACAAGATATATATGTACTTTCTATTATGAGATGAGTTGGATCAAGGTGAATTCAATAGTACAGATGAAAAAAAAAAAGGATCCATATTTCTCAGAAGAACCTATATCTGCTCCTAAATTTGCTATGTCTGGACAAAATTCATATCCATATGACCCATTTAAAGCTTTCATGTAAATTCTTATTAGGCCATGTACCACGAGCTTTTAAGATTTTGGTAATGTGAAAAAGAAAACAAATGGATAAATATGTAAAATGTAATGAAGTGGTTCCAAATTTCTTGTCTGATCTAATTCAAGCCCTAAGATGTTGTTCTTTTATTTCCTTTTTCTATCATTTATTTTTAATATAATAGATTTTTTGTGTGCTGGGGCAGAGCATTTTCTGAGTTTTTTATTGGTCTGGCTAGGGCACGCCTGGATTACATTTTCTTTGGTACCATAGACGGTCTGGTGTGTTGTGTTACAGCCCAAGGAGGAATATATTGGGCTTAAGTCACCATGCTGATTCTCTAAATCGTCTCATAACAGAATAGCATGGAATAGGTTTACTTGGATAACAATATCGCATATGGGCCCACTCAGACCATAACCTGGTCCACCTCTTAGATGGTTAACCGCATTTTGTTGTACCGTCTCTCCATTTGGCTAAAACCTAAAAGTTGACTTTGATGCTTGGTGTTGGAACTATTTTTGATGTATGTGCAATATTTGAGAACTATCAACTATTTATGTGCAATGTTTGGAATCTTCCCACATTTGACCTCAATCCATGCATTTTATTGGAAAAGCCTTTTGAGAAACCTGTTTGAACTGTTACTAGTACAAAGCCCCTTCTTGTTATTAGCAAAAAGAAAATCACCTTCTTACACCTTCATCTTGATTGATTAATGAGAATGAGAAAACCTGTTTGAATAAAGCACTGAAGATAACCCAACTTTATACATACATGGAGTTATTACAGCTATTCTATTTAAAATGAGTTTTTCTGAAGGCCCTGCTTTTCAGTTATAGATTTTGGAGGCAGTTTTGTTTCTGCTATTCTGCCTAGACTTGATCAGAGTAACTGGAGCTAGTAGAGAAAAAAATAAGAAAATGCAGATTTCCTTTGCTTTCTTTTATCTTTCTATTTTTTGCACAAAAGTTATTTCAATAAGAGAGATGGATCAGGAATGAATACAATGCTATAACAATTTATCAGCTCTGGTTGCACACAAATTACAATTGCAGCTTAGTGTATGTAATATCTAATTATGATCAAGGCCTTATATGCACATTACTTGACAACCATGCCTGCTATCTTCTTTCAGGAGTAACTCTAGGGGAAGGAACTGGTGCAACGATGTCAGATGATGAAGACGAACTGCAGATGGATTCTGCATTAGATCAGGCAGGTGCAGATGGGCATGACATGATGTCATTTGGTCCATTGCTTCCAACCGAATCTGAAAGATCTTTGATGGAGAGAGTTAGGCAGGAATTGAAGATAGAGCTGAAGCAGGTGAAATTCTTCATGATCGTCAGAAATCTCCCAATGTTTCTTTTGTTTGCACGAGGGCACCAGTCTACTCCCTCGATATGGAAAATCTGTACAGCAAGGATCTAAATATCAATACACCCGATAACAAAAATTGGGTATCAGTGTGTATCGATAAGACCGATACTCTTGTTTATTTATTTTATTTATATTTTATTTTTATCAGCCTGAGTGGGATGCCTTCTATCATCCCAAACTTTCAGAACCCTCCAACCCTGTGTGTATTTGTGTATCCATGAGTCACCATGACCTTGGATATGGATATGATACACATATCATATCAATATTTTGATCCTTGCTGTACGGCAGTAACTGTAGTAGACATTATTAACTAATTAGAAAGCTGAACTATTGTCTTCCTCGGATGTAGGGCTTTAGGTCAAGAATTGAAGATGTAAGAGAGGAAATCTTAAGAAAAAGAAGGGCAGGAAAGTTGCCTGGTGATACAACTACTGTCTTGAAGAATTGGTGGCAACAACACTCAAAGTGGCCATACCCTACGGTAAACAACCACATCTATGTTTTATATTCTCAGCTCAGATGTGATTTTTTTAGGAATAATAAATATATTTCATATTATTAACATAACCATAATGTAATTAAAAACAAATCAGCTAGTGGCTTTATATTTCTTTTTACCTTGAATGTGTAATAGGCCAAAAGTGTTAAAAGTTTTCTCAAATTCCTTAGTTTCCATTCACATCAAATAAGATTGTTGAGAATTTACTTATTAGAGAAATAAAATACAGTGTGCAAAAAACAGAACAAGATAACTGAAATTTTCTAAAATATTATTTATCAAATGCATAACCAAATATACTCTGGAAGTGGAAAATGAATCATCTTCCTGGACTTTTCTGTGTGATTTCACTCAAGCCTATTGAAATGGACTTAATATAATCCAAGTTTGTCCACTTCCATTAAAATCCTCTTTCACATGCTTCTTACCATATGCCTTGTTCAATGTGGAAAATTAAGCGTAATCCACATTGGTCTACCTCTATTCGAATCCTCTTTCCCATGTTTCTTACCAAAAGTCTCATACAAGGTAGAAAATGAAATATTCTACTGGATAGACCCAACAATCTAGAACCAACAACAAAACATGTTAATGTACTCCTATCGGAATAACAAGTCATGAATACCTTAGGACTTAAAGTCCACTTATCCTGAACATTGATCTAGAAACTCCTAAAAAGAAAAAATAAGTTAGAAACTTTACCATGCAACAGAACTAATTTTCTTTTCTTTATTGAGTTTTGGAATGTAAAGTTATGTTTCTTTTTGATAATTAGGAAAGGATAAGTTGAAAACTTTCTGATCTTTTGTGAGGGGCATAACTTATCAGCATCTGTACAGCTTTAGATAGTGTTTGACTGTTTAGTTACAAAATACGTTTTTTTTTATTGATAACTGGATCAAATAGAATTATTAAAAAAAAAAAAAAAGATTGCAGTTTTAAGATTACCTAAACAAAAAGGGAAAAAAGAGAGAACATGGTAATTTTAAATTGCAACTGAATTTACCCCTCTTTTGGAAAGTTTATTATGTTTTTGGAAGGTCAATGCATTCAAATTGGTTTCTTTTCTTTTCTGAGATCTACAATGTAAAGCTGGGCTCTTTTTCTGATAACCTGATGGAAGAATTTGAAAACCTCCTGATCTTTATCATGTGCATAAATTGTCAGCATCATGTAATTTTGTACATAGCACTTACTAACAATTGTACAAGTATTTAATCGAAAAAAATGAAAAGAATTTTAATGTTAATACATGACATGGAGATCACAAATAAATCTCCAGGAAGGCTCTCCCCCATCCCCACCCCCCATGTGTGTAGGGGTATTATGTCTCTGTTCCTCCTTTTCCTTTAATTGGAAATGAAACTTTATTGAAAAATAAAGAGGAAAGATCTATAAGGATGACTATCCTTGCTAGCAATAAGTACCCTTGATAGAAAGAACCACATAATAACATTGCAATATCAATCACACCAAGAAGTCCAAACTCCAAATTTCTTCTGGCCAACACTATTATTGACAAGAAAATCACCCAAATCTATTGTTTGCTAACTTTGGGATCCAAGAGAGTTAGTTATATTCAATTGAATGACCCACATTTGATCCTATGTAATAAGATGGGATGGCCTCCAAGGATGAAGGACCAGCTGTTTAAGTTCTTAACCAGCCAGTAAAAAACTCAGAGACTCAAGCACTGCCTTGTAAAAAACGCTATAACTGTGTCAAACAATTCTAAAAGCATATACTCTTAATAGGTTCTCAATTATAATGAAATCTTCCGCCACATTGCTGGAGAAACATGAAATATGGCTCATATTATCCCTGAACACACCAGTGAAAAGTTGTTGGAATTCCCATAAGACAATTATGAAAGCTAAGCTTTAATCCAGTACCTGCAGTGACTACTGTCACTTCACCTCATTCTGATAGGAGTAACTCATGAATCACTCCCAGTCTAGACAACCCACGGCCATCAGGGATTGGGGGAGTTTTCAGAGATGCCCAGGGACAGATTATTTCTTTATTGTCTGGCCCTATAGGAGTGGCAGATTCAGTTAGTGCGGAATTCCACTACATGGGGCAGAGATTGCTAAAGAATTGAACATTGAACATTTATTAATTGAAGGTAACTCCAAACTAGTAATAGGGTGGTTGAAAGAACCAGAGACAGTGGCCTGGTCTTTTAGGGGAACCTTGAGGGGATTTAAATGGCTAACCTCAAACGTCTCTGTCAGTCCTCAATGGGAAAGAAGATTGGCAAATGGGATGGCAGATTGCCTAGCTAAGCAAGGGGTGCACAGGAACCAGCTTTTTTGGGCTATTTTGTAATTTTTGGGGTTATCTTGAGGCAGCATCTCGCCTCTTCAAGGGATGCAACATCTGTGTACTTCTTTACTGATCTTTGTTAATTAACCAAACTCTATTACTTGTAAAAAAAAAAATCATGGACCGCTTCCATCCCTATTGTTGTGATCTTGTAAGTTTTTTTTTTTTTTTTGGATCAGTAAAGAGAATTTCATTAATATAATAAGATGTGATCTTGAGGCAGCATCTCGCCCCTTCAAGGGATGCAACATCTGTGTACTTCTTTACTGATCTTTGTTAATTAACAAAACTCTATTACTTATCAAAAAAAAATCATGGACCGCTTCCATCCCTATTGTTGTGATCCTGTAAGTTTTTTTTTTGTTTTTTGGATCAGTAAAGAGAATTTCATTAATATAATAAGATGTGAATTACAGATTATGAGTAGCCTCGGCTACCCAACTAAAATTAAACTGCCACCTATCACTTATGATTTCTCATTCTTACATCTGAGCCCAAAAATACTGATTCCTGTTTGCCCCTTGTTTTGCTAGCTGGTCTGCAAATCCGTTTTCTGCCCTTGGAGTCCACTGAAATGATAACTGCAAGTCCTTGGAGAGGTTTTTAATCTTCTAGATATCATTTCTATGCAGCCAGGGTATTTCTTCAGTTTGCTTTAGCCAGTTTATTACTACTGGGGAGTTGCCTTCCACAACAAGCTTTCGCATCCCCATCTCCTTAGCTTTTTGGATCCAAAATACCATTGTATTTGGTTCATCTGTAGTGGAATCACCCCTACTAATAGGGCCTGAGAACAGCCCCACTACATTTTCTTTGTCATCTCTAAATACCCCTCCAATTCCAGATCTTCCCAGGTTGCCAAGGCTGCTTCCATCAAAGTTCAGTTTGAGTAATCCTGATTCAGGGGGGTCCAATTCCTTTTAATACCTTCTTAAGAGTTGAAGATGAAGCAATTTCCCTCCAGTTCCTAATTATGTCATTCATTGTAAAGTCTGAAAACAAGTTTAGTGACTGTACCCATGATGTTACCTTTACCACAATTCTTTCCATTATTTCTTGCATCTTTTCTTTTCTTCAAAAATTTTCAAGTTTCTTTCCTCCCACAATACTCAAATTACTGCTGCTCTTGTGCATCTCCATAGTGCTCTCCCTCTTCTTTTTTGGCGATCTAAAAGTAGAGGGGTCAAAAAGCCTTTCCAATTTTATCGGAGTATCCTACCTGCATTCAAAAAGATGAAAGAACCAATCCTAAATACCACAGGGTACAAGGATATGATAAGCAGTCTCACCATTCGTCTCACATAAGCAGCACCAATTAGGCGATAGACACCAGCCAGGCCTCTTCCTTTGCATCAGATCACAGGTGTTGATGGCACCATGATAGACCTCCCAACAAAAAGCACTCACTTTATGGGGAATAGGGCAACACCATACTTCTTTTACAGGGAAAGGTACCCCAGGTTGAACAGGATAGGACAAGGATTTGAAGAAGGAAGCACAGCTAAAGACTCCAGAGGGGTGGGGGCGCCCAAACCCTAGTGTCTTGTTCAGAAATGTCTAGAAACACCCCATCAATCAGCTGCAACAAAGAAGACAAAGAATCCATCTCGGAATCCCTCACCTCTCTATGAAGACCCAGATTCCAAGCAAAACCAAACAGGGAGGGGGAGGGGAAGATGAAATCAGAAACCGGCTTGCATTTGAGGGAGGAGAGGGCAAAGATTAAAGGGAACAATGTTTTTAAGGATTGCTTGCCCATCCACACATCTTCCCAATAACTGATTTTATTACCTGAATTGAGATAAAATTTGACGAGGTTGAGAAACGATGGGAGAACTTTGTTAATTGCTTTCCAAGGTGAGGAACTAGAAGCCCTACGAGAAACTCCAGCATCCCAGCCATTCTTAGAGAGCCCATGTACACTAGTTACCACTTTTTGCCAAAGCCTATCTGTCTCGTGCGGGAATCTCCAATAATCACTTCCCTAATAAGGCCTCATTCCTTTCCTTCAACTTCCCTAGTCCTAAGCCTCCGAGCTCCTTTCTTCTGGTCACCACTTCTCACCTGATTATCTTCTCTAACTTTTTTCCAATAGCTTGAGGCATGCTAAACACTGAGATAATATACTGGGAGATTTGCTAGAGTGGATCTAATAAGAGTTATCCTACCCGCCAAAGAGATGTAATTCCTTTTCCATGCAGCTAATTTCTTTTCAAAATTTTCAACTACCGGATTCCAGAACCCAAGACTTTTAGGATTGGCACCAAGGTGGAGTCCTAGATACTTCATTGGCATACTTTGTAAACAACCTAATTCCCCCGCCCATAAGTTGACCTCTTCTTGGTCTAGGTTGACCCCAGCCACCACACTCTTATTGAGGTACACCTTCAGATTTGTCACTTTTTCAAAGAGGTTGATCCTGTAAGACTTCCCCAATATATATCATCAGAATGCGCAAGTCTTGATGATACCAGTGATGGATTCAATAGATTGGATGATGTTTTCAAACATTACTAACTTTTTATTACCATAAATCCCAAATAATGAATAGAAGTGAGTATCTGTATAAAAATCTACTCCATTAGGGGGAGAAATATTCTATCTTCTCATAACATCTGTCATATCTTAGGGGAACACCAACTGAATAGGCAATTGAA